AGCACTGGTACGGGTATAAGTTATCACAACACCTTGATAGTCCTACCTACGATTCAACATCGGAATCTGTGGCCAGCATCCTTGACCACCATGCGCTTTTCAATCAGCGTTGGGGCTATCGACATACTGACACCCTGCCCTATCTCTACTTTGCACTTAAAGCACATAAATCCCCGCCTGGTCTTCGCCCAATTCTCGGTGTTACTCAACAAACAACCTTTCTCAGTCTTCACTTCGCACAATACCTCGCCAGTCTTCGGTCTCCAGTTTGCATAACAGACCCCCTCATAAGCCTCTTGCCAGTACAACAATGGCCTCCCGCTCACTTAGCTATGCTCTCCAAGGCGCGATCAAGTCTCTGCGCAGTAAGGACAATGATCTTTATCAAGAAGTAGGTGTACGACGCTGTTGGATCGTACAGAGTGCTGAGGAAGTCATCTTAGATCTCAAGCAAAATGCACCATCCCTTCGAGGCTGTACGCCCCATACGGCAGATTTCACAACCATGTACACTAACCTGCCACATGATAGGATTCTTAACAATGTCCTAAATGCGGTTCGTGAGGCACATGATTACGCCTTGTTGCATATCCCGCAGGGAAGAAGGCCAGTACAAATGTACATGACTGTAGGAGGTCCGCATCGCGGGGAGTGGGTTACTTCACATGGATCAGACACCCTTTCCGTGTCAGAGATAGAACAGCATCTGCGGTTTGTGGTGTCGAACACTTATCTCTACACAAGGGATGGCACTCTGCGTCATCAGGTGGTAGGCATCCCTATGGGCACTAACGCTGGACCGGAATTTGCCAACCTTACGCTTTATTGGGACGAAGCACAGTTCATCGATGAATTACGACAGCAGGATCTACGCGCTGCGCAAGCACATGCATTTACGTACCGATTCATTGATGACATCTTATCTTGGAAGACATTACCGCCCCCTCCTGCTCGATATGGTCTTGAGTGGAAGGACACTACTGAGCAAGATGGGTCGTGTGTTTTCCTTGGGGCAAGAATCCTGGTTCGGCCGGATGGCTGACTTCGCATCGGCGTCTTTGATAAGGTTGAGGCCTGGACATTCCCTGTCATACGCTACCCCAACGCTTCCTCTAATGCCCCAGCTCATCAGCCTGCAGGTGTGCTCACAGGGCAGCTGACACGATTTGAACACATCTGCAACAATACTGCCGACTTTAAGGCTGCAGTGACTTCCCTCACACGACGAATGCTCATTAGAGGCCATCCCCCCAGTGTCCTGGCCAGAGGTT